GACCCGGCACACCCGGAACACCCGGCGCACCCGGCACACCCGGGACACCCGCGGGGCACGCCCGGGGCACCCGGCGCACCCGGGAGACCCGGGACACCCGGCACACCCGGGGCACCCTGCGCACCCAGCACACCCAGGGCAGCTGGCGCACCTGCCCATGGGACACCCGGCGCGCCCGGCACACCCGGGACACCCGGGACACCCGGGGCACCCGGCGCACCCGGGGCTTCCGGCGCACCCGACACACCCGGCGCACCCGGCGCACCCGGCACACCCGGGACACCCGGCACACCCGAGGCACCCGGCGCACCCGGCACACCCAGGGCAGCTGGCGCACCAGCCCGTGGGACACCCGGGACACCCGGGGCACCCGGGACACCCGGGACACCCGGCGGAACCGGGACACCGGGCACACCCAGGGCACACCCGGCACACCCGGCGCACCCGGCACACCGGGAACACCCGGCGCACCCGGCACACCCAGGACACCCGGCACACCCGGGGCTCCCGGGGCAGCCAGCACACCCGCCCAGAGCACGCAGCGAGCGTGCCATTGGGACACCCGGCGCACCCGGCACACCCGGGACACCCGGGACACCTGGCACACCCGGCACACCCGGCGTGCCGGGAACACCCGGGACACCCGGCACACCCGGCACGCCCAGCACACACACCCGGGACACCCGGCGCACCCGGGACACCCGGCGCACCCGGCGCCGAAAGCACCCGGCACACCCGGCGCACCCGGCGCCGAACGCACCCGGCACACCCGGCACACCCGGCACACCCGGCAGCCGAGCTCCCGGCGCCGAGCGCACCCGGGACACCCGGCGCACCCGGCGCCGAGTGCACCCGGCACGGCGCCGAGTGCACCCGGCACACCCGGCGCACCCGGCGCCGAACGCACCCGGCACACCCGGCACACCCGGCGGCCGGGCACCCAGCGCCGAGTGCACCCGGGACACCCGGCGCACCCGGCGCCGAATGCACCCGGCACACCCGGCGCACCCGGCGCCGAACGCACCCGGCACACCCGGCACACCCGGGGCACACCCGGGACACCCGGCACACCCGTGAACACCCGGGACGCCTGGTCCACCCGGGACACCCGGCACACCCGGGAGACCCGGGACACCCGGCGCACCCGGAAATCCGGGGACACCCGGCACATTGGGCACCCGGCGCACCCGGCGCACCCAGCACGCCCAGGGCACGCGGCGCACCTGGGACGCTCGGCGCACCCGGCACACGGGGGACACCCAGCGCACCCCACCCGGCACACCCGGCGCGCCCGGCACAACCGGAACCAGCAGAGAGCAGTGGAGACGAACAAAAAACAGCCGAGAGCAGCAGAGAGCAGGAAAAGGGAGCGGACAACAACAGAGAACAGCAGAGAGCAGCAGGAAAGAGCAGCAAAGAGCAGCAAAGAGCAGCAAAGAGCAGCTGAGACCAGCAGAGGGCAGCGGAGAGCAGCAGACACGAGCAAACACCAGCAGAGAGCAGCGGAAAGTGGCAAAGACCAGCAGCATAGAGCAGGAAAGGGCAGCAGACACCAGCAGACACCAGCAGGGAGCAGCAGAGAGCGGGAAAGAGCAGCAGACACCAACAGAGAGCATCGGATAGTGGCAGAGAGCAGCCGAGAGACGCAGCAGAGACCATCGGAGCAGGGACCAGCCGAGACCAGCAGAGAGCAGCAGAGACGAACAAAAAGCAGCCGAGGGAAGCAGAGTCCGGCCGATACCAGCAAAGTGCCACAGACAGCAGCCGAGAGCAGCAGACAGCAGCCGAGAGCAGCAGACACCAGCAGGGAGCAGCAGAGAGCAGGAAAGAGCAGCAGACAACAGCAGAGAACAGCAGAGACCAGCAGAGAGCAGCAGAGAGCAGGAAAGAGCAGCAGACATCAGCAGACACCAGCAGAGAGCAGCAGAGACCAGCAGAGAGCAGCAGAGAGCAGGAAAGAGCAGCAGACAGCAGCAGAGAGCAGCGAATAGTGGCAGAGAGCAGCGACATCGTGTCTTTTGTGGCAAAGACCAGCAAAGACCAGCAGACACCAGCAGAGATCAGCAGAGACCAGAGACCAGCTGATACCAACAGCAGCAGGAGCAGCAGAGACCAGCAGACACCAGCAGCGACATGCAGAGTCTGCAGAGAGCAGAGACAAGCAGAGACCAGCAGACAGCAGCAGCGACCCGAAGAGACCAACAGCGACCAGCAAAGACCAGCAAAGACCAGCAAAGACCAGCAGAGATCAGCAGAGACCAGCAGAGACCAGCTGATACCAAGCAGCAGCAGGAGCAGCAGAGACCAGCAGAGACCAGCAGACACCAGCAGCGACATGCAGAGTCTGCAGAGAGCAGAGACAAGCAGAGACCAGCAGACAGCAGCAGCGACCCGAAGAGACCAACAGCGACCGGCAGGGGTCAGCAGAGAGAAGCAGAGTCCGGCCGATACCAGCAAAGTGCCACAGACAGCAGCCGAGAGCAGCAGACAGCAGCCGAGAGCAGCAGACACCAGCAGGGAGCAGCAGAGAGCAGGAAAGAGCAGCAGACAACAGTGGAGAACAGCAGAGAGCAGGAAAGAGCAGCAGACATCAGCAGACACCAGCAGACACCAGCAGAGAGCAGCAGAGACCAGCAGAGAGCAGCAGAGAGCAGCAGAGAGCAGCAGAGAGCAGGAAAGAGCAGCAGACAGCAGCAGAGAGCAGCGGATAGTGGCAGAGAGCAGCGGCATCGTGTTTATGTTGGCAAAGACCAGCAAAGACCAGCAGAGAACAGCAGGGACCAGCAGAGAGCAGCAGAGAGCAGGAAAGAACAGCAGACATCAGCAGACACCAGCCGAGAGCAGCAGACACCAGCAGGGAGCAGCAGAGAGCAGGAAAGAGCAGCAGACAACAGGAGAGAACAGCAGAGAGCAGCTGAGAGCAGGAAAGGGCAGCAGCTCGGGTGGTCAGGCCACTTTTTTCTGGGACATGCTCGCAACTCTGACCTCTCATCCGGCCTCCTCCCCGTGTGTCCCTCCCTTCCTCTCCGAATCTTCGCCTCTGCGGCATGTGCGGGCATGTGTGTTTATAGTTTCGGAAATTGTCCAGGCTGTGCATCCGACTGTGCGTCGGACTGTGTGGCATGTGCGCGCATGTGCGGTCATGTTGTTGAGGCTCTTGCAGTGTTGCATTGGCATGTGCATGCGACTGTGCCGCATGTGCGCGCATGTGCGGCCCCCTCCGGGGTTCAAAACGAATGCGATCACCATAGAAGTGAACACGATTGAAGTGAGCCCGGTGACGGCGGCGAAACGTTGGACATCCTCGGAATTGAGGCCAGGGAAGCCTTGAATTGAAGTGAGCTGGCCCGTTTTCTCCGCGTTCAAAGATGCGGTTCTCGAAGTGTTCGGGCCGGTTTCGCTTGAAACATCCTCGGAGGTGAAGGCTCCGAAATACCTTGGTTTGAGATGCGCTTGCCCGTTTCGCTTGGGACATCCGCGCATGTCGTTCAGGAGCTGGCCGGGGGGTCGTTCAGGAGTCTCGGGGCAGCTTGCGCCGTTGGAGCGCTTCTTCCTTGGCCCCTTGGTCTCTTCAGTGTGTCTCTCCGTGGTCCGTTCTTGGTCCCTCCGTGGTTCTGTTTTGCTCCCCTCTCGGCCCCTTTTTGGCCCTGTCATGGCCCCTCCCTCCGTGGTCTCTCGAAGGTCCCTCCTTGGTCCATCGGTGGTCCCTTCGTGGTCCTTCTTGGTCCCTCCCTGTGGTCCTTTGCGTGGTCCCTCCGTGTTCCCTCCGTGATCTTTCCGTTGTCCTTTTTTGGTCCTTGCGTGGTCCTTTCGTGGTACTTCCCTGTGGTCCCTCGCGGGCTCCAACGACGAGCGATGGCGATGACCACGACGACGTCCAGAAAATTGTGGAGACCCCAGCAGGAGGCCCCAGACCACCTCGGGGCCACCAGGCGACGATGAATATGGTCTTGGAGCTTATGACGAGCACGTTGGTAGCCATCTTGGATGAACGTGCTGAAAGTGGGTCCACATTGAAGGCTCCGTAGGGCAATGCGGAGTCCAACGAGGGTAGGCGGAACCACATCGGGGCCGTTTTCGGAGATTTTGGACACCCCAGCCTTTTCAGGAACGACCGGCAGGTTCTTGAGGAGGGTGCCAGGGGAGAAATTAACGGTAAATCAGTCTCCCACTTGGACGGACGAAGGATTGGAAGAGCTGATCCCAAAAGCCACCCACGGCCAATCGGAAAGCCACGCTCTTGGTCAGGAGTCCTGCCCTTGGCCAGCCCGTCCGTCGCCCTTCCAGCAACAACGAACTCCAGACTTCTCGACCCCGTAGCTAGCATCCACTTCGCGCCGTTGATCGTTTTTGGTTTTTGCGCGAGCCTTGTCAAACGCAACCGGCATCCAATGTCTTCTGCAATCTCTGCCAACAGTTGGGGGGATGCCCCAGTCGCCTAGGCATCTTGATTACAGCCCCCCTCTGGCGCACTGATGCGATGCACTTCGTGGGCCCGTCGCCGTTTTGGCTCCGACAGCGCGCCCCCAATGGCGTCGCCGTAACAGTGACCCGTCGGAGACCACCTCAAGAACGCTAGCTAGCGCTCGGTTTCCCGAGCCCGGACGAACCAGTGCGCATGGCGGCAGAACGTTTGCACAGCGCTCTCAAAGATTTGGGGCTACCGGACATCGCTGCCGCGGGGATACTCCAACAAGCACAGCGCATTGCTGGCGGGAGCTGTGGTGCCCTCCCTGTCCCATCCGAACCGGAGCTGCCCACACTGTAAAGGGCCCATGCGCCCGCAGGAGCGGGAGGGTGTGACAGCAAGTGTGCTTAGTGTAGGTGGATGGGAATCGCGGCGCCACGTGCCGTTGAGATGCGAGAGGCGCGGGTGCGCGCGAAAGCGCGTGTGGTATAATTACATTTCAGAGTCTACGAACAACCATGCGTGGCATTAGAGTGGACACGATCGGCTGGAATATTTTTTCCTTGCCAACACCTGGGGCGCGTCTGCCCAGTGGCCGCGGCAATTCACGCAACGCTTAGCCTTCCAGCACGCGTCTTTTGACAGCGAGGCCAAGGTTTACGGGGAGGCAGCTCGTCGAGCAGGGCTCGCAGAGGTGGTCCCGTTCAGAGCAGATTTGAAGTTGCAGAGGGCCTGGATCGCGCGGCGCGTTGTGGCCCGTATGTTCGAGCACGGGAACGGCCAGGGGGAGCTGAATTTGTTGAAGACGTCGCCGGACTTGATAAAAACCATTTGGTCATGGTACCCAGAGCACATGTTCAGCCGACGAGTGCAGGGGCTCACGGACAGCGGGCGCTCCATCAACACGATCGTCATAGATGGGAATGCGAAACTGGCCCGCCGGATCTGCGGGCGAGCTGTTGCCGAACTGATGCACTCCCCCTCCTTGGAGAGGTACACTGCCACGCAGTGCTCTTGCAAACCGGGATTCAAGCTGAAGCGTTGCAGCAAGCACTTGGCTCGCGCCCTGACTGAGGATGACGGCCCGCCGCAAAGTGAAATCATAGTTTCGCACAAGCGCCGGCGCGTGCTGGAAACGGCCCCCAGGGCTGAACCGTGCGACGTGTGCCTCGTGGCGCGGGACCAGAAAGATATCCCAGGAGCGCCGAGGCGCTGGGCCGCCGCGTGCCAGGTCACCCAGGGCCAACTGCAAGAGTACTGGGGCAATGCTGGACACCAGGCGTACATCCCGGCGACGTCACCCGACGCGGACTTGCAGTCCGCGTCGTGCAGGACCCACAAAGAGGCGCAACTGGGCAGGGCCAGCCGCGGTTCGACCCCGAGCCAGTTCAGCAGAAAATGCGGCTGGCTTTACGCCTGCACTCCAGAAGGCTACATCGTGCATCTGAAGGAGTACGTGGGCGCAGAGAGTCTGCCGCAGCGCTACTTCTTCTTGGCGGAGGTCGTGGAGAAGGCCCCTGCAGTCGACGTTGTCCGCCACGACGATGCTTGCCATTTGCGGCGGTACGCTTCGAAGCGCGAGGGCGACGGCGCCTTCGCGCGCAGGCTCGCGCACCCCAACATCAAGTACATCACCGACGGACTGCGCGACAGAAACCACGTGGACCCCTGGTGCCTAGCAAATTGTTCACCTAGGGCAGACTGCAACAAGGAGCTCGTGAAGAACAACAGCCAGATCTGCGAGCAGCTGTTCTCGTCTCTGGGGCGCCACAAATATTCTGTGCGCCGCATGGGGCAGTTTACCTCGGCCTTCTTGCTAACGGAACTGGCCGAAGTGAAAAATGAGGCCTGGCCTGGCCGAGCAGGCGCGCGCGGCCCGCGCGGCCGCGAGCGCGGGGCAGCCGCGGAGCGAGTGAGCGAGGCCGCCCGGGCCCGCGCGCCGATTGCCCGCTGCTTAGGCACCGCGCCCGCCATGTCCGGAGCGTTGCACGGTTGGGCCAGGTGCATGTATACGTTGCACAGAGAGAATGAAGAACGGTGTGGGCGGGAAGGAAAATGACCAGGCGCGGTCGGGGCAGCCGAAGGGAATGACAATTGCCCGAGCAGAACCCGCGCGAGCGCACTCCTAGGGGCCCACCACCTGGCCCTCGCAGACAGTTGGCTCGAGTGGGAACCCGACTTGTCCCCGACGCGCGGCGGGGGGGCGACGCAGCAGTTCCGAGATGAGATGCGCGCAGTGTGGGACATCGTCGACAAGGAGTACGACTCCAGGGTCGCCTTGGGCCACAAGGCATCGCAAGCGATTCTCACTCTAGCCACCCGGGCGTCACATCACGAGTTCCCGTTCGGAATGGGAATCCTCGCCCACCTGTGTGCTTGCACCAACGGTGCACTGACCAACATATTCCCTGGTGACCCAAGCCCGGTAGTCTTGCCGGTCGTCAACATCAATTACCCGCAGACTCGGAAGAGCTTCACGCACCGGGCGGGCATCGTCGTGGGGCGCGCAATTGACGACCACGTGCTGGCGACTGCGAGCGCCTTGGCCACGGGGGCAGTTCCTGGCGCGGAGCTCAGATTCGCCGGCCGATCGAGCATCTGAGCGAGTCAGCGGCGGATCGGATCGCGGGAGCGACCGGGTCGGGCCAACCGCCAGGGGGGATCGACCGGCTCGGCGCGGGAAATGTGATCGTTCAGTCCGATCGCGCGGGGATCCCAGACCCCCGACGCAATGATTTTTTCATTGCGTCGACCCCCAGAGGTCCCGACCCTTTCCCCATGACCGGCTTCGCATCCTGAGCCGTTTTTTGACGCTCCCGAGGCCCGGCGAGGGCCCCCGGAGGCCGAAAATTGAGAAAAACTCCCCGTCATGATTTTTTCATGACTCGAGGGGGTCTGGGATCTCGGAATGGCGCCTGCGAGGCGACAACGTCGGGGCGTACGGGAGGGCGGGGTTTGCCCCTTCGGTGAGAGTGGAATCGTCCATGCTCACGAGTTTCACGGAGGCGGCGTTCTTCTTGCGATGCGCCGGGGACTGGGGCCAAGTGGCCCCGAGCGAGTCGCACGACTTGTCGGGGCGCGTGTACTACGGGACATTGATCAACCTAGACGAGGCGCACCGCTTCCTCAAGATGGTCGGCCTCATCCCCGCGCAGAACACAAAGGGCGGGCAGCGTGCGAATGGTGGGGCTGCCGGCCTTGCCCCCTGCTTGGAGACTGATGAAGGGGCCTGGGCGACGACCGCCCCCGCCGTTGTCGCGGGGTGTCGGGGGAGATGGGCCCACCAGACTGACCTGGCGGGGCGAGGCCGGCCCCCTGCGCATTCGCGTGCGCCGGAGCAGGCGGCGACGCCTGGGGCATGCCGGCCGACGCGGCATCGGAGTTCAATAAGTTGATGCAAACAGGCCACACGGCAATGACTACAAAGACAGCGGGTGCGTTCGGTCAAGGAAGCGCCCCAACGGTCTCGATTGGCATCAGTGGCAATGGGCACCCTTCCGTCGTTGTGCCGATGCTGCGAGGCTCCCCCGGCACTGACGCAGTGGCCACGTCGTGCCGCTTGCTGTTCGCGTCGGGTCGCCCTGTGGAGCCTCACTCGCCGCCCCCCGTGCAGCTCGAGGTCCCGCAGGGGTTCAAACGTTGGCAGTGGCCGAAGCTATTGGAATGCATGGTATCTCCGCTGGGCCTGCCGAGCGAGGCGACTAACCACGTGCTTGCTCGGGGCGCGTTCCGCCCGGCGCCCGCGCACGAGACCCAGGCGACCCAGGAGGAGTCTGACGCAGAGGATGCACCGGTTTAGTTACAGAAAGCGGGGGGCCTGAGATGTAGCACACCTCGCCCAGTGGCGTGCTCTACTTCTACCCGGGCCTGCCTGGCCCCACCCGAGGCTCGCCCCAAAGCCCTAACCCTACTTACGTAAAGCCCCTGCCTAAGCTCACCCAGAGAGCACTTGGGCCAACCTTCCAGCGTTCCCCAAGACCCATGCCCAAGGCCTGCCCTGGACTTGCCCCGGGGACCTTGAGTAAACTAGCCCAGGCGACCCTGAGTTTGTCCATGACCACCCTGGAGCATGTAGTCCCTTCGACTACCATAAGTCTTTGGTGAAGCGACAGGCGGGCCCCCCCCTCGGGCTCTGTGCCTGCCCAGGAAGACCACGTCACGTTCGAGCCAGGCCCCCGTGGATACTCTTTGCGTCTCGTGGACGGCACGATCACGAGGCTCCGCTTCAGGAGCCGCGGCGGCGTGTTCGAGCCGGAGCTGCGCGCGACGAACCGCGACATCCCCGTGACGCAGGGCTTGGACGTGAAGAGCATGGCCAACCGCGTGCTCGAACACTTCAAGGTGAGCCACACGGTAGTGCCTTGGTCAGAGGAGGCCCGGTTGACCTTCAAGGGCTTCCAGATGGTGTTCGACGCGCAGTGCGCGCTCATGCGGGATCAGGGCAATGAGACTCGCGCGGCCTTGTTGGGATCCAGCCCTTGGATGCTCGGCATGATCTCGGTGGCGCTGCTCATTCTGGAGATCGCGGTTGGCGAGGCGCCGATGGGTGGAGAGGCCGAGGTGATGGAGCATCACGTCGCCCGGGCGTGGGACATCCTAGAGGTCTCGGGGCCCTGGGAATCAGCACCGCGCAAACTGGGGCATTGGCGGGCCCATCCAGGGGGGGGGGACTTGGAGATATCCTGGCCCGTGGTTCCAGCATGCAGTCGGCTGCGCGGGCTCCCCCCAGGTGTTTTTTTGTTTCCATTAATTTTGTTGCGGGGCTCTCGAGGTCTTCCACAGCGGTCGCATCACCCTTGAGGAAGGGCGCGAGAGCCAGGAGGTGGGGGAGGAGAGAGAGAGAGGGCCGCGCGGGACGCCGCCAGCTGCAGGGCTGCCGGCGCAGTCCGAGTCGGCGCGGTCGGCGACGAGTGGGGCCAGTGGGCCTTGACCCAGGCTCAGCCGCGGCGCGCCCTCCCAGGCCGACCGAGGAATCAAGCCAAAATTGTTCTCTACCTAGGCTCTTTCTAGAAGGGTTCTTACTCTCTGTGCTGAAAGGGCCGAGCAGTGGGGCTCGTTCCGGGCGGTTCCCCCGGCATCCGCCCCACGGTTCCCCAAGTTGCGCCCCCTGGGTTCACCCAGCTTAGCTGAGCTAAGCGTAGCGCAGCTTAGCTTATCTCATCTTAGCTTAGCTTAACTTAGCTTAGCTTAGCTTTGCACAGCCTAGCTTAGCTTAGCTTAGCCTAGCTTAGCTTATTCCATCTTAGCTTATAGCTTAGCTTAGTTCAGTTTGGCTTGGTTTAGCTTGCCTTAGCTTAGCCTAGCCCAGCTTAGCTTAGCTTAGCTTAGCATAGCTCAGCTTACCTTCGCTTAGCGCAGCATCGCGCAGCGCAGCATTAGCACAGCATAGCATAGCATAGCCAAGCATAGCCAATCATAGCATAGCATAGCGCATCATGCCATAGCACAGCATAGCATAGAATAGCGCAGTATATCAGTATATTGTACCACAGCATAGCATTGCCTAGCACAGCACAGCGCAACATATCATGCCATAACATATCATATCATATCATTAGATCGCATATCGTAGCATAGCGCAGCAGAGCATATCATAACAGAGCATAGCATAGCGCAGCAGAACATATCATGTCATAGTCTAGCATAGCCTTGAGATGTCTGCAGATCGCATCGTATCATAGCGTAGCATAGTGCAGAATAACCTAGCGGAGCAGAGCATCGTATCATAGCATATCATAGCATAGCATTGAGATTTAGGTGTAGGTTTAGATGTGGATGTAGGTGTAGGTGTAGGTGTAGGTGTAGATGTAGATGTATATGTAGATGTAGATGTAGATGTAGGTGTAGATGTATGTGTAAATGTATGTGTAATTGTGAGTCTCGCTGATGATGTTGATGTAGATGTAGATGCAGGTGTAGATGTAAATGTAGCTGTCGGTGTAGATGTAGATGTTGTTTTCCTCCATGCTCCAACTCCTAGGTAGGGTCGCACTGGGATAATTCGCGCCAAAGGGAACCGCGGGCCGCGGGCCCTTGATTCGCGGGGCGCTCTCACGAGCAGTTCCATGCCACGGGCCAAGGGCAATCGGGGAAGGCGCGGGGCCAAGGGCAATCGGGGAAGGCACGGGGGGGAGACATTATCCGGAAGGCCCCTTATCAAAGTTGCGGCTCCGCATGGCAGGTTCCGACGTCGGCGGCGGCCCAGCGGGCGGCGGCGTCGATGGCGAGGGCGACCGCGAGTTCGAGGGGCTGGGCGATCAAGCCAGCCACGGCGGCGCGTCGGCCGCGGAGGAGGAGGGGCCGCCGCTGGCGAGCGTGGCCAACGACGGCGCGGGAGACGCCGCAAAGGCGCCGGCGGCGGCGGCTGCGGCCGAGGGGGGCGGCGCGGACGCAGACGCCCATTTCCTGATGCCAGGCGACCCGGAGGTCCCCTCCATGGATGAGGGGTACGGCGAGGACCAGAGGGGGCGCTTGCGCGGGGTGGGGTCGGCGTGGGCAAGGGCAAGGGGGCTTCGAGCCAGGGTGGAGGGGCCTCGCCCAGCTTGAAAAAGCTTCCATGGACTCAGAGGGGGTGTGAAAGGGATGGGAACTGCGCGTCGTTGATCGGCTTCCCTCAGGACGGCGCCTCGGTGCAGATGCAGGAGCACGGCGACGTGTTCCTCACCGACAGGGAGATTATGAAGAGAACAATTTTGCGAGGAGAACCCATTGTCTTCTGTTCGGATGTGTGCGGCTCCATCCGGAAGACCCTGCCGAGCCAGGAGCCAGGCGTCCGCGGGAGAACAGTCGCCCTCCGGCAGCACCATTGGAAGGCGGTCATGCAGGCGGGGCTCAGCCAGTATCACATTGGCGCGTACGACGACGGCTCGAGCGCGGAGGACCAGCCGGGCGTCCCGCGGATCCACTTGAAGCTGCCGCCGACCGACCGCCGCGACCTCCACCTGCCATTCCACAACCGCCTGATGAAGCTGTGCGGCGTTTCCTTGCAGGCGTACACGAGTGCGATTGGGGCAAAGGAGACCAGGAAGAGGAGAGCTCCGCCTGCCTCCGCCAGCGCTCCGCGAGCCGCGCGGCAGCGGGGGGCTGCGGTGCCCGGCGGGCAGGCGGGGGCCCCGCGCGGCCCGGGCGCGACGGCGGCGGCGGGCGGAGTAGCAGGAGGAATTGCCGGCGGCGCGGGAGGAGCCGACGCAGCGGCGACGGCCAGCGGCGCAGCGCCGACGCCCGCCGGCGCGGCAGGCCGCGGCGCGGCACCGGCGCGGGCGCGCCCCAGCCGCGCCCCGGGAGAGTGGTAGAGTCTGAGTGGTGGGGCGTAGTCGAATGAGAGCATGGGTGAATCGAGCCGCCCACGCCTGCACCAGGTGTCCGTCGGGGCGCCAGGGTGCGGGGCGCTCTCTCCGGCAGTTTCGGCCCCCGACCGCTGAGATGCGGGCGTTCCTTGGCAGTTTTGGTACCCGATCTATGCCCTGCGGTCTCAGCGCACCTGTACTGGGCAGCTCTGGCATGAGGATCAGGACCAGGAGTAAAAGGACGATCAAGGTAGCCAGTTCGAGCGCGTCAAGCATGGCATGCACATCCCCACCGTGATTCCCACCCGCCCTCCCACAACATAAGAAACAGTGAAGGCGCAATCGGTAACCGAAATCAATCGTCAAGGTGGCGTGGCACAGCTGATGCAGCCGCCATGGTGGTTACCGATGGGGAAGTCCTCGCCCGTCTCAATGGCTGCGCTGGCACTTCAGCACGAACCGAGGATGCCCCAGAAGGCCCCAGGAAACTTCAGGAGGCCCCAGGAGGCTTCAGGAGGCCTCCCTGAGGCGGTGGGACGCTCCAGGGGGCTCCAGGAGGCTTCAGGAGGCCGCAATTCGCATTGCCGACGACAAGACAGGCCATGTTGAAAGGAAAAGCGGAGACTTTGTATTGAGTTTTGACAGTCAGAATGGGAGGGCCCAGATTGACGTCCGCGCGCGATGCGCGCCGCGTCCCATTCCTGCCACGCAGTTCGCATCGTCGACGACAAGACAAGCCATGTTGGGAGGGGAAACGGGCATTTTGCACTGATGTCACACAGTCTGGATGGGAGAGCCCGGATGCAACCGCCATCGGCCAGACAGAGGGGAGAGTAAGAGTATATACGAATAAGGAGTAAGAATGAGGAGGATGTGGAACGATATTGCCATGCATATTCCCGTCCCATGTCCCCATCTGTATACGTAAGTCCTCACAGATTTTCTGTGTTCACAAGTGGACGCGCACATTTGAAAGACAGGCGCTCTGCGGGCGTGGCGTTCACGACCCTGACTCTGGATCCGCCCTACTTTGGGGAAATTCGTAAGTGGGGCTTGGAATGTCCGCCTTAGTTTTCAAGCCCAGCTGATGCCAATTTCCGCCCTACTTTTCTGTTGCTGTTTCTCTGGATGTCCGCCCTATTGTACGTTGGGTGCAGCAATTTCCGCCCTACTTTTTCGGCCCCTTCTAGGTGGATTTCCGACGCAATTTGAAGTTGGACAAAAAAACCAAAGTAGGGCGGATCCGGAGTCAAGGGATTCGTGGCAGACCCGGGGCACCCAGCACAACGCCCGGCGCACCGAAGGCACCCGGCGCCGAGCGAACCCGACGCGCGTGGCGCACCCTCCGCACCGAGCGCACCCGGCGCCGAGTGCACCCGGCGCACCCGGTACACCCGGCGGCCCGGCACCCGGCGCCGAGAGCATCCAGGACACCCGGCGCACCCGGCACCGAGCGCACCCGGCGCCGAGTGCACCCGGCGCAACCGGCACACCCGGCGGCCCAGCACCCGGCGCCGAGTGCACCCGGGACACCCGGCGCACCCGGCGCCGAGCGCACCCGGCACACCCGGCACACCCGGCGGCCGGGCACCCGGCGCCGAATGCACCCGGGGCACCCGGCGCACCCGGCGCCGAGCGCACCCGGCACACCCGGCACACCCGGCGCACCCGGGACCCCGCACAAGCAACTGTTATGGCAGCAGGACACACCAGCACTAACGTTAGATCGGACATGTCCTCCTGCAGGGGAATTTTGGAGGAACCATGGAAAAATACCACAAACATACCCCAGCATTAAACAATACCCCCAAAACACCCCCAAACTACACCAAAACATGTTTGTTTTTTTCATCACGCAGAAGTTGAACGCCCAGTACTGTCGCAAAGCATCGAAAGAAAGACGCCGCGCCCTGACGGCGCATCGGCAGAAAACATACGACCGAAGACACACACACGCACACACTCATGTACAATAACATGCTTGGACCAGTCCGTGCATTCCCCAGGCGAGCACATAGCCTCGGGAGGTCACCGTCCAAACTGCGCCCAGGTAGGGCAGTCGGGAAAGGCAGCTTTACTCGTTCGCCGTTTCGGCGCTCACCACGCGAGGGGGGAGGGTGCGCTTCAAAGTAGTCAACAAATAATTGAACATCGTCCCCACATTATGTTTTCATTATTTGGGAATGCTCCTCCTGCCCGACTTAATACTAACGCTGAGACGGAGCGAGGATAACATCGGGTGAAGATAATTCGAGAATCTCCGAGATCCGGCGGCTCTGGAGGATGCCTCGGGCGCCGCGGCCGTCTCAGACCGTTCTGGAACGCTCTGAGAGCGTTCCCGAATGCTCTGGAACGCATGTATCCTCGTCCTAGCCCCGTCCGATAACGCCCCCCTTGGATGCGCACGTCCGAACCGAACACCGAATGCGGATACAATCCGCCACCGCGCCTCTCAGCACAGAATGGGCACGTCCTCAGGTCGTTTGCCTCATCCTTTTGGGCCTTTTGTCCCCCGTCTTGAGAACCGAAATTTGCGAGATCTCCTGGGGTTTCCCGCGTGCCCCCCGGGCCTTCCCGCGTACCCCCTGGGTTCCAGGGAGTGGTTCCGCATGACTGTTTGCGAGCCCGAGAGGGCCCGACGACGGGCCAAGAGGGCGCCGAGGGGCCACTCAGGTCCCCAGGAGGGCCACGAGACGTCGGAGGGGCGTGCCGAAATGGGCAGGGAGGAGGGCTACGAACGTTGACAGTGGGGCCTTCGGTGGAGCTCTCTATGGGACCACGAAGCGCTGTACTCGATGGGGCTGATGTATGCGAACGCCGCCTCTGGGGCCTGCGGTGGGACTCAGTATGGAGCCACAGGACGCTGTGCTGGGCGGGGCGGGCGCATGCGAACGTCGCCACTGAGCCTTCGGTGGCGCTGCCTATTGGTACCACGGAGCGCTGTACTGGGTGGGGCGGACGCATGCGAACGTCGCAAGTGGGGCCTTCGGTGGGAGCTCCCTGTGGGAACACGAAGCGCTGGACTGGGAGGGGCGGGCGCATGCGAGCGTGGCCCCCGGGGCCTTCGGTGGAGCTCCCTGTGAGGCCATGAGGCGCTGTACTGGGCGGGGCGCGAGCATCACCATCAGGACCACCATCATCATCACCACCATCATCGGCGTCATCATCAGAGAGAGCGTGATCCATCCACCGCCGCTTTATTGCCAAAACCGGGGGGGTCACCTACCGGTTCGAACCCCTCCCCCCCCCCCCCCCCCCCCTCCGGATCCGGAAAACCGGGGGGGGTCACTACCAGTTCGACCCCCCCCCCCATCGAAAACCGGAGGGGGATCACTACCGGCTCGAACCCCTCCCCACCCCCCCCCACTCACCGCCAGCAAACGACTCCCGGTCCCTACCACCGTCCGCATCACATCCCCCACTGTTGTTCCCAGCACCACTGTCCTCACCACCACTGTCCCCACTGTCCCCACCAGTGCCCCCACCACTGTCGCACTGTCCCCACTTCCCCACCACTGTTCCCACCACGGTTCCACTCTCCCCACTGTCTCCACGGCCCCAACCACTGCCCGACTATCCCCACTGTCCCCACTGTCCCACTGACTCCTCCGCTGTCCCACTGAGCTGTCCCACTGTTCCCACCACTGTCCCCACTGTCCCCACCACTGTCCCCACTGTACCTCTGTCCCATTGTCCCACCGCCGTCCTCGCCACCGCCTTCACCACTGTCCCCACCACCATTGTACCCTCCACTGTCCCACTGTTTCCACCTCATTCCCACTGTGCCCACACCACTGTCCCCACCACCACCGTCCCCACCACTGTCCACTGTCCCCCCTGTTCCCACCATTGTCCCCACCACTGTCCCCACCACTACCGGCCCTCTACTGTCCCACTGTCCCACTGTCCCACTGTCCCCACCACTGTCCCGCTGTCCCCTCACCACTGTCCCCACCAACACCGTCCCCACCACTGTCCGCACCCCCACTCGGTTTTCGAGGGGGGGGGGGGTTCGGACCGGTAGTGACCCCCCCCCCACTTTTCATGATGAACTGGGGGGGGGGGGGAGGGGTTCGAACCGGTAGTGACCCCCCCCGGTTTTCCGGAGGGGGGGGGGGAGGGGTTCGAACCGGTAGTGACACCCCCCCGGTTTGCCGCCAGCAGCGGTAGAACTTGCTCTTTCCATCATCAGCATCATCATCACCACCACCACCATCATTGACATCATAAGCGTCACCACCACCATCTGTGTCATCATCAGCACCATCATCACCACCACCACCATCGTCACCATCAGCATCATCAACATCATCATCAGCATCACCATCATAATCATAATCCTCATCAGCATCAAGAGCATTAACATCACCATCATCGTCACCATCATCAACATCAGCATCAGCATCAACACCAGCATCATCATCATCATGATCATCATCAGTATCACCAGTGCCATCATCATCATCATCATCATCATCATCATCATCATCATCATCATCGTCGTCATCATCATCATCATCATCATTATCATCAGCATCAGCATCATTATCATCAGCATCATCATCATCATCATCATCAGCATCACCATCATAATCATAATCCTCATCAGCATCAAGAGCATTAACATCACCATCATCGTCACCATCATCAACATCAGCATCAGCATCAACACCAGCATCATCATCATGATCATCATCAGTATCACCAGTGCCATCATCATCATCATCATCATCATCATCATCATCAGCATCAGCATCAGCATCAGCATCAGCATCAGCATCATCATCATCATCATCATCATCATCATCATCAGACATGTCTTCAGCATCGGCATCGGCATTGATCTCGGGAGAGAGCGCGCCCACAGGGCCCGAGCAAAGGGGAGGGGAGGCTAGGCTTAAGCTACCCCCCCCCTCCCTTGAGCCGCCCTTGTTGGAAGCACCCCCCCCTATCCCCCTCTTTTTTTTGCAAGGGGGGGGGGGGCTTACAGCTACCCCCCCTCCCCCCTTGGGGGCCCTCCCCGGAAGCTACCCCCCCTCCCCCCCTTTCCAAAGGGGGGGGGTGCTTAAGCTACCCCCCCCCTCCCTTGGCGCTGCCCTGCTGGAAGCTACCCCCCCCTCCCCCCCTTTCGTGCAAAGGGGGGGGGGGGTGCTTGGAAGCTACCCACCCACCCCCCCTTTGGCCGCCCCGGAAGCTACCCCCCCCCCTACCCCCCTTTCCAAAGGGAGGGGGGTGCTTAAGCTACCCCCCCTCCCTTGGAGCCGCCCTGCTGGAAGCTCCCCCCCCCCTCCCCCCCTTTGTGCCAAAGGGGGGGGGGGCTTGGAAGCCCCCCCCCCTTCCCCCCTTTGGCCGCCCAGCCCCCGGAGCCTCCACGATCCACGATCGAGGAACAATCCACGATCGAGGATGGACGATCGAGGATGGACGATCCAAAATGAATAATCCACGATCGAGGATGGACGATCGACGATCAACGATCGACGATCGAAAATCCCAATCGAATCGCTTGCAATCGATTGCACTCCATTCCACTGCAATCCCCCTCCCCACCTCCCTCCGCTCCCTCCCCTCCCTCCCCACCCTTCGTTCCATCTCCTCCCTCCCCTCCCTCTCCTCCCCTCCCTCCCTTCCGTCCTGTCCCTCCCCTGCAATCCAATCGATTGAATCGTTTGCAATTCAACCGATTGCAATCCAATCGATTGCAATCCAATGGATTGCAATCGAATCGTTTGCAATCCAATGGATTGCAATCGATTGCAACGCAAGTGTATCATTCAACTCGTCCCGTGCCAACGCCCGGGAACGA